GGCAACAGCAATGAGCTTCCCAAGAGGAAATATGGTCTCTGGCAGCTCAGAGCCAGCGCCCAATCCAATGGGCATTTACAGGAGTACAGGGACTTTTTAATATACCTTTGATCCTATACTATTTAAGATAACAACCACATTAACACTGATGAATTTTTTGTAGCCAGGCCAGAAATTATCTTCTCAACAGAAATAATTGCCAGTGAATCTGGTTGCTTTTCAGACATCCTGGAAAGAAGATAGATTTGCATGCATGTTAATATGATGAATGAGCTGTCTGCTCTTAAGTGAATGATCAGCAGTGTCATCTTCAAAGTAATCAAGACAGCAGCAACTACTTAATCACATCCACTGGTGCTGATATAAAATGTAAGCCCTTTATTAGGCATTCATATTTCAACCTCCTCTTCAGCTTCAGCACATGACTTAGTAAATATTTGCCAGCAGCAGAGCTTGTTTGCTAGGAGAGATCCAGGCTGTCAGCTGAGGCAGCTTTTAATGGTCCATTTGATAAAGCTAATTCTGCCATGGGCTGATGTCAACACATAATGAATATGTAAGAGGGAAATTCTTGTAATACAGTACTAATGGCCATGCATCTTGCTTATTATTAATAGCAATGTTTAAGGCCCTTGATATGCAATAGAAATTCAGCATTTTGGGGATCACTTTTAGGTGTGCACTCCAGCAAATTGTGTCCACTCTACCCTTTGGAAAACCAACACCCTGACTTAACATACAAGAAGGACTCTGGCTTTTCTAAACAGCCTCCTTGTTTTCCACTTTCTGTAAAAGGAATCCCCCATCTATAAAACTGAACCCTGGTGATGAAGGTCCCAGGTCCCATGAAGAACAGGTTGTTGCATTTTGCATCATAGAGGAATTTGTGAAAGAAGCTATGAATAGAAGGGGAATTTACAATCTTCCTCTAAAAGCCGAACTTTGTAGGCAAAAATGGAGCCAGCCAAAATCAACCTGGAGAGGAGGCATCTATGGGCTGATCAAAGATTTATTCATCCCTTTACTCAACCACTCCCTCTCCCCATCAGTCAGCTGCTCACATCTGGACAGCTCTGGCACAGGAAGCCTCCTTAGAGCAGACTATGAGTTACTGGTAAATTGGAGATGTGCAATGGTAAAAGGATTTGATTTTGCCCTTGATTGCCCTTATTATTAAAAGTGTGACTTTATCACTTTCCCACCCCTCTCTTCCCACTCAGTTAATTACTAACCAAGTCCCACCAGCAGGAAATAAGATCTTATCATGAAGAGTAGTAGTCATGGCTGAGTAAGACATGCCTTGGAAAGGGCAGATGCAGCCAAGTCAGAAAATCAAATAATGTACGCGTTTCCAACAGGCCTGAGACAAATGGCTAAACTGTGGCAACAGCCCTTCCCCATGGTGGGAGGTATTTGCATGCAGGATTTCCTTTGAACCATAATGCAGATGCAGCTGCTCTGCTTGTACTTGAGGCCTTTGAAGTTTGAAGATCCAAACCTCATTTCCCACCTGCTTTTAAACTGAAGTGATTGGGAACTGAATGAACTTAAATTACAATGTTTGTTATTGTATCTCCTAGACGTGTGACCTCACTCTGTCAACGTCATTCCTTTCTCTTGCAGGATTTTGCCTGTATGTGCAACACACATGACATTTCCAGAAAGTCCAGGTGCTGTGCGCTTATCACTTCAGCCTCCTTTTTCCCATTGCTTACTATGAAGCGTGACACATTGTGCATGGAAAAGCCCAGAAAGCCATGCCCTGCAGCACCAAGAGATATACTCGGAGCTTTCAAAATGATGCTCATCTTTTCCATCACGTTTCAATCCAACATTATTCATTGTGTGATAAATATCATCCAGATGAGTGTCATGCAGGTTTGCTCAAAGCTTGCATTGTTCAGGCAGATTTTCTAGTCAACCGTCACTTTCAAAAAGCAAGAACTGTTACTAGTCTAGTTGTTTTCAAGAGCTGAAGAAAAAATATTCCTTGTCCTTCCATTTTCTTATACATTCTTGAGGAATTATGCTCATTGGTGGCCCTCAGGCAAAATAACTGTTTGACCAAGTTGTAACACTGTGGGATGTTCAAGTAGTACAGCAAACTTCAGAGAAATATTCAAAAATAGCAAACAGTGAACGGCAAGAGAGGGAGATCCAGCCAAATCTCCACAGAACCCAGGGTGGATGAGCTTATGTTAGCACAGCACAAGCTGATACAGCTTGGGGCACACACCATGTAGAGTTGTCAGCTCAGTTCCTGCAAGCGCATCGGGTGTGGAGGTGTACTGACCTCTAGCATCCACAGGAAATGAAGGGAGTTGTGCTGCGTGGCACAGAAATGCTTGCACTGGAGAGTCCCTTCTGCTTGGACCAGTGGTCAGGGAGTCAGAGACCAATAGCAGCTGGTGGTGACCAGTGTCCAGAGCTGTCCACGAAACACAACAAGTAACTCTGACATTGCTTGTCACCAGCTAGGAGGATTGGAGGATAGCGATGAGCAAAAGAAGATGGGCAAACTTGAAAGGGACAGTCAAAATCTTCCATGTACACAGTGCTCCTCTTGGCTTCTACCTTTCAGCCCAAAACAATGTGAACCGGCATTTCTATTTCCAAGCTTGTTGTGAGGCTAAGAAGCAAGAAAGAAAAAGCTCTCTCTATGGTAATATATGGTAATAAATACATTTGCACACTTAGGCACTCACTCTACTACACCAGCCAGGAAGATACTGATTTCAGCAAGTCAAAATGCAAGACGTCCTGGCGCCCTTTCCAAAATATTTGTTTATATAAAATGAAAGTTTTACAACAAACACATGTCCCATTAAAAAGCTTCTTAACATATCAGTGACATAGGTGCAAGCAAAATCCCTCTAGACATGGTCTTTAATTGGTCTGCCCCACATCTTCAAACCTAGGATATAAATATACCTGATATGGGTAATATACTGATAAATGGAGGGTTTTTTTTGTCTTTTAGACCTCAAAGAATCATCTGGGAAACCACAGAAGTTTAATGAGCTTGCCCCAGAGACATTAGGTTTTATGGAAACAAATTAAAAAATTTTGCTTTACAACTTAATCATGCAGTATAATGAGTAAAGAAAAAATAATGCCATACAGAGAAGACATGGGAAATTCCTGCATTAGTTGTATGAAATGTATGAAAATGAAAATTATGCAGAGATAGAATGAAAATCAAAACAAATGTGAAAGAAGACAGGCAAGTATGTAAAATAGGGATTATAGGCTTATAAGAGACAAGGGCAGTTCCCTATCAAGGCAAGAGGTAATCCTTAACGTAACTTATGTCAAGAAAGTTTTCAGCATCTTCACATTTGAACTTTTGCAGGAAGATGAAGTAAAAGATTGAAGAATAAACCTGGAATCCATCTCTGTACGTTATCTTAGGAACAAAATTTGTTCAGAACAGCCAAGCCACTGAGTTTCCTAACTGTGGATCTGATGGTGCTGTGGGGCACAGCTCAGTGTCAGGTCAGGGAGTAATTTCTGAGGACTTGTTTCTGATTAGACTGAACACTGCGGAATGCTTCTTCTCTCATTACTGCTTGCCTGTCTGACTTAGACTGGGAGCTCAGGTAACACAAGTAAGCAAAAAGCTCAGAAGCACGAAGAACCATCATTTTGTGATCAGTTAATTACAAATGCAGCTACACTTCGAAGGAGTGCTCTGAATGTAGTTTTGTCCTTAGAAAAGAAGGTGACATCAGCAGTGAAAAATTTGCACATGCAGATCCATGTACACAGGCAAAAAAGGGCTTAAAGAAAAGCAAGAGCAAAGAAGAAGCTAGGTCTTTGGCAGACATATGCAAGCATTCTGATAAGTAGATGGTGTACAGTCTGCACACCCCAGCAGTAGGACCTGTACTTCCAGAGCACAAGCTTGTCCAGTTTTGAAGCTGAAGATCAAGAGAAGTGTTCAGTTTTGAGGCAGCACAGTGATGGGACGGTATGGAACCCTGAACATAGTCATTGAGATAGGGCTCAAACATAGCTATCTGCTGCATGCTCCCTTGAATTGCTGTGCTAAGCTGCTGTGATGGGATAGCTGTAGGTCCTGCATCAGGTCTGACAGCTACATGACAGTTTTTCAGATACTGTGGAGCATTTCAGATGGCACATATGTGTGTGAGTCTTAGCATGCAAGCTGTGTCCTATCTGAGCCTGGGGCACCCGTGAATTGTTTTCTCCTTGGCTCTACAAGGTTCTTTACACCAGACAATCTAAAGTTATTAAGATCATGGATTCACAAGATGATATGATGTGAGTACTGTATGTACAAGCAGAAAGAGGCAAGACCAGTTCCTAGATGCTAACTTGCTCATGGTGTCAGAAAGCATAAGAAATCCTTCTGTGTTACTGCTACCTTCTCTTATGATGTTTGTTCCCATGACATCCCCATTGCAGTAACAATCCCATTATGATGACAGCAAGAAGGCTCTCCTGGTCAGAAAGCCATGCACAGGTGTGGCAAGACATATAGCAGAATGCAAGATTTGCTACAGCTACACCAATCTAAACACATCTCTTTTATACTACCTGTTGACAAGAGAATAGCTTTTGTGTTCCACATAGGTCTGTACCCACCAAGACTTGATATTTATGAACAAGGTGGGAAGTGCTGCAGAAATACAGAACTTGACCTGACTTTTTTTCTGGGTCAAGGAATAGATATTTCCTCCCATATTGTTCTGTCAGAGCTGAAGGGTTCTTGCAGATGGAGTTGGGTAGGCAGAAAGCCAGCTCTTTCTATTGGCAGGCACAGAGCAGAGAGGACAAGGTGGCAGCAACCCAGGTTTAGCTTGGCTGATGTTGGCAGGGAATTACACTGTTAACACTGTCTTCAATGTGGTGTATGCTGGGTCAGGAGTGTATGAAAATATACCTGCTGCCTAACACCTATATTAGGCATTCTGGCTAAATGAACTGAAATTTATTCAAAACTCAGACCTGGTTTTCTCCAGATCCCTTTTGTGGAATGATCCATCAGCATCCAGACCTGGTACTGTGGAAGCACAAATCCCATTCCCATCATTAGCTCTTGGTGGGATTTCTGGTGTGGTCCCAGGTTCATCCTTCCAGAGGTACGTGCATCTCCATCATGAACATCAATTCAGTGCTCCTCCTGCAAGGAAGGCAGGAAGATTAATTTCTTGTCATACGTGACTGAACTGAAGTCACTATACACTTGGATACCCAAATAAATGAGAAGACATCCTCATTCCAGGAATCAACTGGAGATTTCAATTTCACAGACCTTCCTATGCCTCCGGCTCTCTAGGTTTTGGCTTTCTACACGTTCTTGGAAAAAAATAATAATAATAAAAATCTAAAAACATGATGCTTATTTAACATTCTGCCATTAACACAAAGTGCATATAACTTTGGCTCCTCTCCTCAGCTGGGCTGACTATTAAGGAATAAACTACAATACTTTTGCAGTCAGAGGAATGGGTTTCCATGAGGGAGGATGAGGAAAAGATGAAAAAAAACAAAACAAAACAAAACAAAACACTCAATGCTGCGATTAAAATTCTGTAATCTGACAAAAGGCCAGTGTACTGATCCAAACAATTTGGTCCCCAGAGGAAATGTCTTATTAATGTAACTCATATTTGGGCTATGCCAAGGTTACGTCGGGCAAGATAAGACTTTGTCAAAAGCAGTCTGCTGGCAAAGCCCCACGTTTTCCACTGCCAAAGACATCTAATTTCAAGGATGCCTTCCACCAGCAGTCACTGCTCCTGCTGTTTTGAGAGCCCAAGCAGGCAGGCTGATACCTCCAGAGTTAGCCTCCATGTGGGATGGGAGAAGGGATTCAGTTCTCTTACACAATATTTAACAAGACCTCAAAGCCAGAGATGTTTACTCTCCTTACTTCAGCCTAGAGCATGACTGCAAGACTCAACTAGCCTAGAATTTTCATAAGGCATCTCTGAGATGAATCATTACTACAAGATACATGATTACTTAACATTTCATATTGTATGCACAACTAGATGAAACCAGCTTTCTCCTCTCTTTTCTTTCTCCTTCATCCAATCTCCCCAATTATCTTCATCCAGTGAAGCCAAGCTCCTTTCAATACCTCAAACTTGCCAGGGAGAGCTGTTCCAGCTTGCTAATTGAATTATAACACACCCTCTAAATAAGACTCTGGCTCAGAAATCACTTAGGTGAGAATATCCCTTAAGAGCATAACAAGAAGAGCATGGTTGGATGAGTAATTGATTCAATTTGGATTGAAATGGAATGATCTAGTTGTGTCCTACTCTGTTTTCTCCTCCTATATTTGCAGAGACAAAATGCCTGCAGCAGGTCTGTTCTCAGGGCTCAGAAATCAGTTGAAGGCTCTGAACTTTCCTTTAGAGGGTGACTAACTCCAGCCATCATCAGGAATTCACAAGCAGCTGTTCTCTTACAGAAGAACAGAGCTGGGAGATGGAGGTCCAGAGCTGCGTGGGTAGACAGCACTTTTGCTTTGAGGATTATCTAAGTGGCTGTTTTTCAGTGGGGTGATGACTGGATTTTCAGGACTGGACGTAAGTTGGAGAATGATCCCAAGGCAGCCAAGCAGTGGGCTGAGTGTCATCCATTTTCCATCACAATTCATAGGTTGTCTTGTTCACAGAGGCAATGCCTGCCCTGGGACAGATATTGTCTGAGCAGTGACAGTCTTGGCATGATTTCTGGAAAGAAGGCAGGGGAGGACTGACAACTGGCAATGGGATAAGCAACAGGAAGCCAGGTGCCTCATGGGGGAGAAAATCAGAGGATGTCAACACTGGGAGACCGCTGAGGAGTTGTCTAATTTTACATTTAGTAGATGAATTGTAGTGGTACAACTTCATGCCGGAGGCAAGGGAGATGTATCCCTCTTTGCCTGCATGCAGCACCTCGTGGATCTAAAAGCAAAGATAAGATCCTGATATGGAGCAGTTGTTACTGTCTTCTTACCCCGCCTTGACCTATCTGGGCCTGGAGGATCTCTGATAAATCTTTCAGCAAATGTACCTGGCTCAGAGCACACCAAGGCTGCCAATTTATTAAGAAAACTAATAAACACAGTAGATATGATCTCAAAAAACTTGGAGCAAGCTGCTGCTAGGGCAGAGATTTTTCCTTTTGCACTTCCAGGGAGAACTTCAGCTTATGTTTGGGAAGGCAGGACTGTATAGGAATATGCAGTACAACAGCAAGTGTCATCTTAGCCATGTTTAAGATGGGATGGACTTTTTTACCCCTCTGCATGCCCATCTCCAACTATCCTGACAGTATTTCTGCTTCCCCTCTGCTTCAGATAAGATCTGAATATGCAGATCTGGGACACTAGATGCAAATGGTGTCAGGTCTGCAATGCAGAGACTGAACATTTCAAAACAGTTGTATGCTCACACTATCAGTGCTCTCCCTGAGAGCTGGAAAGCTAAAAATTTTTCTCTATGAGTGACAGCATGAAAATAAAGGTCCATATAACACATACAACAGTCTGGTGAGAACAGGGGAGTCTCTGTTGTAACGTTTGCAAGTGAAGGGTTTTGCAGATGAATTTGTTGCATCTCTCATAGCACAATATATGCCAGGATGGTTTATGGCCTCAACCTTGTAGAAGAACCTCATCCCAGTATTTCTTCCCACACTTTCTGGCTGGCAGAGCTCAGAAAAAGAAGAATTGATCCTGGACTTTCTGGGGCAGGGGAAGGAGTCTTTTCCTGATTTGCAAACACTGATTTGCAATGGATTTGTACCTCTTCTTCCCAATCTTTTTTTTTGCACAGCTCTGATTCCCACCACTCATCTATCCTGCAGGCTTTAGCTTGAATGTTGCCACTTTATTAAATGTGAATTGAATTAGACAGGAGGCAATTAACTGCACTGGAATTTTCCCAGGGTATCAGAGCAAACATACTCAGTGATATCTGGTGAGATCTTTACAGACCACAAACAACATAGATATCGTGTATAATGATGGTGCTTCCCACATTTTCCTTAGCATGCTTCTGGGACATTGTGCTGAGGAGCAAATCAGAGGGAAGGGTTAAGACACCTCTCTTCGTGAAGCAATTGGGATTTTCCTTGAGATCTCTTTGAGTGTGAGTCTGCTGCTGTGGTTATTTATTCACAAATAGCTGAAAAGCTGTCCTTCAGCATGAGCCACATCTGGTGTGCAAGCTGTGCACCCACACTATCAGTCTGCTGAGCCTGAAGAGCAGGGTCCATCATCAGAGCAGGTATGGATGAAGAACACTCCTGCCCTCTTCCCACAGTCACGTTACCTTATTGTCAGGCTGAATATGAGCCTCACCTCAAATTGGCAAACCTCATACTGGACTGTGCCAGGACAGTGAGATCTTCTGTCTGTGTTGTCTAACCCAAATCAAGGGAGATATCAAGAAATAACAATGGGGGAGGGCTGCCAGGACAAGGAATACAGACCACCAGTCCCATTAGCAGAGTGTGAGGGAGCTGGGATTGCTCAGTCTAGCAAGGAAGAGGCTGAAAGGGGATAAAAGCCAACAATGAGTTGAAGGGCAGCTACAGAGGTGGGTAAGTAAATACAGAGCCAACCTGCTTGAGCACTGGGGATAGCCCAGCTAGTCCAAGCAGAAGGCTGGAGGGGAGATCCCAGAGACCTCTTCTGACCAAAACTCATGCAGTCTATCTTCTCATCAGCTTACCAGCGGGGAATTGCTTTCATTGAGAAATTAGTCAGATTTGTCTGGGATTTGATTTCAGACAGGTCAGTTCTGAAATTTCCCATGCCATTTTGGAAACAGATGTGAGTGATCTGTGGCAGACAGTGCTCAGACTGGCACCACTACCAAGAGTAGTCCACCTGTAATCCAAGATACCATCTAAGTTTGTATTTTGGGCCAAACACAGATCTGTAGAGTCCTAACTGCAAGTCTCCTGTCTGTGTAGTACACTGTGTGTATGAGTGAATGACCGCAGACTTCAAAATCTAAATTAGGGATCAGTCACCCTCTGCCAAATCACTCTCGGTTTACTACTGTGTCAGTCTTAATCCAAAGCTTGTCGTGAGCCACGTGTGCTGCTGCGTGTGGGAGAAGTGTCCTGCCCCACCAATTTGATAACAATTTAAATTAAATCATTTCACAGGGAAAAGATTTCTTCCTGATCAAGGTCATTTGCAGAGAGAGGAAGCAAGATCTGAATCTGAATGTAACTTGGCCTTGGGTCTGGGTACAAAAGGAAAATGAATACTGAGATCTGCATTTGCTCCCTTGAGCAATTGATGCAGCTTGCATAAGCAGAGAGGCAACAGAGTAGGTAGAGAAATAGATGCTGGGATAGTGAGAAAGTTCATGCAAGCAAACTTCGGGATGACTTGCACAAAGTGTGAGTTTCTCTTATTCATCTTTTCCTCCAGCCTATTCAACTCTTCTATTTGTTTGGCTATTGTAGACAAATTCTTTATTTACTTTTCTTTAGCTTGACTAACATTGCAGTTCTTGTTGAATTAACTGTCACCCCAAGAAGGCAGTCCAATGGGTGTGCTAATGCTCTCTCCTGCCCATGATATCACAATAGTCCAGGGAACGAAAGTGTTACAAGCTGTACTTTATTCACCTGTATGGACTGTGCTATGTGCACGTAATGCAAATAGAATGTGAAAAAGACATGTTAGCCCGAAAAGCTCTTTGAATTGCAGTAAGATTAGGGAAAGTCCCCAGGGGCCCCAGGGAAGCTGTACTCTGATTTATACAAAGCCAGTGACCTGCAGTGGCTCTGGTTCCGTTTGGAACAGCATCAAGATGCAAACTGTGGGTTTCTCATCCAACACCTTTACTCAGTGTAAGCCAAATAAGAGCATTGCCTTAGCCAGGAATAGCAGATCATTTATTGGTGTAGTGAATCCACAGATAAACAGACAGCTACAAATTATGTACTGACATATCATTGGATGGGCTGGGACAACACAGCTCACCACAACTCATTAAGCTGTAATGTCTTTATTACTGCTGTTCACATGTCTGTAGCCCAGGATGTATCAAAGGGGAAAGAAAATCAAGAAATCTGAATTCTCATCATGCCTGAGTCCAACCAGACCAAAAGCAATGACAAAAACAGTGGTCAAAAAAAAAAAAAAAAAAAATTGCTCCA